AAATATTTTACAAAATTTCACAATTTTTGAAAGTCATTCAAATATTTTATAGATTTTTTATAAAGTCAAAAACAGGTTTCAAAAACAGTGTCTGTTTGTATCAGTTCGCGATCGACCGCCACGATCGATCGTGTCTGTGTTCTTTTCTGAGTGGGCAGCAGAAACTTTCACAGTCGACCGCCACGATCGACCGTCGGCTCAAAAATTCCCACAATTTTTGAAAGTCATTCAAATATTTTATAGATTTTTTATAAAGTCAAAAACAGGTTTCAAAAACAGTGTCTGTTTGTATCAGTTCGCGATCGACCGCCACGATCGATCGTGTCTGTGTTCTTTTCTGAGTGGGCAGCAGAAACTTTCACAGTCGACCGCCACGATCGACCGTCAGCTCAAAATTTCCGACGGTCGACCGTCACGATCGACCGCAATAGTTTCTGAAAATTTAGTGAACCTCGAAAGTAGCTCGCGGTCGATCGTGAGATTTCACGGTCGACCGTCGCTTATTCAAACGGTCTTTTTGGTACAGATTTCAGGCGTAGATTTTTCTAGGTTTTGGGGGATTTGGGTATGGGTTTAAGCTGCTGTGTTTTCTCCTATTTAAACCCCCTATACTCCTTCTTCAAGTGTCCCAAACATTTTAAAAAATCAGAGATTTGTTTTTTCTGAGAGCAAACTTTCAAAACCTGGTTTTCCTCTGTTTTTAATTTTACTTCCCAGCTTCAGTGTAATCTTTCTTTTTGTCATAGGAACATTGTAAAGAAAGAGTTTTTACACTATTACTACTATTAAGAGCTTGATCTTGTGGAGATTAACTGTGTGGGAGTGAGATCTTGTGGTGATCAACTGTGTAGTCGTGAGATCTTATGAAGATCGTTGTGTAGAAAAAGTTTTGGCTTTCAAACCGGGTTGTGTAGTGGATTCTCCTCGAGAGTGGGAGCGGGGACGTAGGTCAGCGGGCCGAACCTCGTTAACACATCGCGCGTCACTTGGATAAGGATTTCTAACTCTATCTCATTTTCTATAGTTGTTCATTTTGTGGTTTGTTGCTTGTCTCATTTTTATTGTACTATTACAGCCTTAAGATCCTAATCACCCCCCCTAGGGTCCTACAGAACATTAGTCTAGGAGACAGGGTGGGATTTAGTGTAACCTATGGCAGATCGCGTATAATAGTTCAGATCGCGTATAATAGTTCAGTAAGTAGATCTGTCAGGTTAAGTCCATTTGAGATTGTTACATGTTGTCGACCTATGAAACCTATAGACCTACTTCTAAGCTCATTAGGATATTCCTGTCTAAATCCTTAACAATTATAGCATTTAGGTTCTTTAGGATCTTGCTTGGACAACTCACTAGTAACAAACTTATCATTTTGATCCTGAGTGGCAGAGTTATTAGATTTAAATATTTTTATCGAATTATCACTTAGGCTAGTCCCTGGCAGGAGGTGTGAATTCTTTGTGGGTAGGTGTCTTAAGATAGTGCTCCGTTTTTAGTGCCAAGCTTTATCTACAAAAGTCACCAAATGCAGGGCAATCTCACTTAAGATATTAGTATTCAATCTAGTGTGAATCTAGAAAGGGTAAACCGAGATTCTTCTTGGATGTTACAACACTATACTAAGTCGTTGAATTTATCCATGTACTCCTTCACATACAAGTTTTCCTTACACAACGTGAACAGTTGATCCATCAATCTATCTAGATATGAGGGTGAGAGATACTTTCCTTGAGCTTCTCTTTCATCTCATCCCACATCTCAATAAGATCTTGATGTAACCTAGTCAGCTGTCTAACCGAGATCCTATAAATCTTGTCTGACCCTATCAACTTTATCTTAACAAATTGAATCTTACGACTCTCGGACATATTATATCAATCAAAATAGGGGTCCATGTATGCTATTCAATCACTAAACTTTTAGGGTTTGTGACTACCGTCGAATGTTAGGGCCCCTGTCTTCACTTTCCTAGTGATATCGTCTTCTCTTGGCCTAAAATGGGTATCATAAGAATTGGAATACTCATCGTAATACTCATCGTAACCCTTATGTGTCCTATCACGTGTGTCATGTCCTTTAGCAGCTTGGGGACTATGTCCACGGTCATTCCTAATAAGTATTATGTCATTACTTATTGGAAGATCGTCTTGTGGCTCACAAAGTCGGGTATCCAACTGATCTAAACATGTTGTGATCTATTTGTGTTTAGTGTTTTAAACTTTTGATCTTCCATGAACTTGTTAAGGGCCTCCATGAGCACGACGATCTGTGCTTGTGTGTTATCTCGTGAACTCATAGTGTCTCTATACGTCCTATGACTATATAGCATGATGAGATTGATGGGAATTCATAAAGAATATATTCCAAAAGAAAGAAGCAAATGATAGAATTAAGATGATATGCTCGATTCTGGATTTATTCTCTATATCTTAGAGATTTTATTTTGTAGACTTCTAAGTTAGTTTCCTTTTGATAGGATTTTGGAAGATTTGATTTGATCTTTTTCAGTTGTAATATTTCTCTTTAAATAACGTTGTAAAGCCTCTTTAGAAAGCAAGGCCATTTGGAGATTAAGGTTTGATTTGGCATGTGAATTGCTTATTTGTGGGTGTGAAAACCAAATTACTTATATTCCTCTCAAGTTTAATTTTAGCCTATCATTGTAGCCCTTCTTCAAATTTCAACCCTCACACTGATTATTACCTTGCCTTCCTCAACCAATGTTCATGTGAACAACAATTCTGATTATTGTTCATCCCCCTTCACCATCGACCACAACACCGCAAAACCATCATCACCTCCTCCTACCATCTTTAGTCAGTTCTCAAGCTTTCATCGATATCACAAAAAACTCTAACCAACCCTCTCTTACTTATTTGAACTTATCTGAAGTCCTATCATCCGTCAGCACCAACCGCTACTCAACAATGAATTCTTTACTTTAGTCATCTCCCTCCAGACTGTCGCAGGCTATGTTTGAATCCAACAAAATTACAACTACATAGTCAATCCCTTTGTTTCAGACTAAACCGATTTTGTTTGAAGTTAAAATTGCTATTTTGCAAAGATTATCGTGGTTAATTGTTGATGTTATAGTTTCAAGTGCTTAATAAGGTTCAGGCTTGATCAATTGAAACCTATTGTTCTCTTGATCCGGATATCTCTATTTGTTTGCAAATGAGTTCAATCATCTACAGTCCAAGATCAATTCTCGAAAGAATTGGGTGTGAGTCCATCGCATCCTCAAGTGATCTCAAAACACAACCACAGACTCAATATTTATTCCCGCAATTCTATAGAATCTGTAGTTGACTTATGAATGCCACTGGTTATCTTCATTTATGTGGATCTTGTTTGATTGATCATTGCACTTATATGTTAGGATTGCATCATTTTAGGATCTTGACTGTTAGACTTTTGCATTCACGACTAGTTACATTTACGCCATTGTTTGCTAGGTTACTCATCTATGTGATTATTTGACTTCAATTGTATTCATATTTTCCCACGTCCTGTCCTGCGTTAGCAACCTAGCAAGAGATGAAATGATCCTTAGATCTAAAATGTATCATTGAGGTTACTTTTCTATCCCTCCTATGAAAGATTATTGTCAAGCATGTATTCACTATATTCATGAATCTGACCCCATACATGTGGAATAAGAACTTTGTTGTTGTTGTGTGTATATATCCTCTACAAGTTCATTAGTTTTTATTCCACTTTTCAATCACTCTGTTAGCTTTTCATTCAGCTAATGCATCTCCTTTGTTCATCTCCTAAAGCCTACATACCAAGTACTGTTTCTGTTCCTATCTCAAAACAAAAGCATAGTTAAATTCTAATTGCTATGTCAGTCCTAATGCTCATCATTGAATGACTGGATATTGTATTTCTTTGGTGATAGTCCATTATCTTAGAAGAATATGAAACAATTTACTCTACTGAAACATAATATAGATCAATGGCTACCACTACATTTGAACTCACGTGGTTGAAGTATCTAATTCAGGTCCTTAGTATTTTTTATCCACATCCTATGCTTTTATACACTGACGATCAATGTTGCACTTCACCTTTCTGATAACATCTCTTTCCATGAATGAATGAAGCATATCAAAATAGGCTGCCATCATTCATGAGAATTATTCAAGGTAATTTAGAAAGACTTCTGTACAATAATTTCGATTGAAAATTAATCAAGTTTAATTTTCCATCAAATTTCATTGACCAAAACTCTAGAGGAAACACAGCAACACGGGAGCACGAGCGTGAGATTTGATGAATCCCTGCAGTGGTAAATGGAACTAATTAACTAAAACTTCCTCCAGACAAAGTGTAGTGTTAGCAAGAGATGAAGTGATCATAAGATCTAACACCTAGCAAGAAATGAAATAATTCTTAGATCCAAGATGTTGCAACATCCAGTGTTTGTCATGCAAGCACATTACCATCATTCATGCGGGCAACTTAAACAAGTGAAATAAAATAAATAAATAAACTGAATTTAAACCTCAAGTACTTCCAAGTCGCAGATCCAAACATGGAAAGATGTATGCTCATATCTTGAGGTTGGTTAGGGATGTAACATAAGTTTAGAAACCTGAAATATCAGCACATCTGCATGCAAACAAACCTCCATAAACTTCATTCCCAAGTTTTTAGCTGTATTCTTAACATTGACTTGCATTGTCTATTACAGTACCTCTCAAAACCAACTTTTAATCATGCTTCCCAGCTAATCAAACGCCTTTTTTGATGATTAAAACTACAAACAAACAAGCATATTACTATCTATTTAAATATTAATCCACATCCAACTATCACAGCAATAAGTTCACTCACTCGCAAATACCTCATCAGCTAAAAACTAGAATTGTAAAATTCCAGGAAGGAAAAAAGAATTTAAGATTAAGTGATGTATTTCTTAAATATAAAGAACTCACAAATCGAAAGAAGTTAATCTTAAAAATTAAAACTACCAAATTAAATGTTTGCTTTACCTGTGGTATCTCCCAAACATTTGCCCTCCCGCTAAGATCTTCCACTTTTGGTATGCTAGTATCCCTCGCTCTTAAAAACATCAGCTGCTCATCCACCCTTTTTGATTTCTCCAATCCAGCATGAACAGCAATAAATTTGCAGCACATCCTACCTTCCTCGGTATCAATCCACACATTCTCCTGCATAACAACTATTAACCTAACTAAAAAGAGAGAAAAAGCAGCAGCTAGTCTATATCTCAAATCTAATATCATAAGAGAGGCATGATAACCTATTATCACTAAGATGTGCCCTCATTCTCTGCCAATCTCATTGGAGAACAGCCAAGCCCATACAATTTTCTAAGTAAATGAGATTGTTCTATCATGGAATTCTTTTGGTCAATTTGTAAGGAGAGAAATCAAAGGTTTTTTAATAGGAAAAATAGTATTCAATAACAGAAATGATACAAAAACTAATACGACTTATTGATATCTGGTGCTATAACAGGTTATCGATACCTACAATTGCATAGTGGAATATATACTTACTCAAGGTTACCGGACACTTCATCTAGGCTCCCAGATCTATGTCCGACACTTCCCACATTCGTGTCCATATCGGACACTCTTAAGACACTTCACACTTCTTGAATATATACATACATTTTTTCAGATGTGCACTCAATTATATAACACATGTTTTAGATTAGAAAACTCATGATACACTTCTTGAACATATATCGTACATTTCACCTCAAATTCATGCAACTCGTTGGACTTGGGATAGGTTATAGCTTATACCTAATTCATAAGTATAATTTTAAAGAGTTATTTGATATTTAGTTAAAAAATGAGCAGTTTTCAATTTATAATTTACTCAATAAAAGAAACATAAAACTGATAAAAGGATTTTAGTTCAATAACATGTGAATGAGAAGCAATGTCGATCTCATATAGATTGCTAATTTGGATTAGAGTAGGTTGAGGGAGAGAGAATGAGATGGGGGGAAAGAGATTGAGATGAGGGTTTTTTTACAAAATAGTTCACCCACCCATCCCCTCAACCTATTCTAATCCAAATGCTCATATCATGTCACATCACTACCAAGTAAATTGAATATGCTTGTACCAAAGCATACCATCCTCTCCCCCCATATATATATATTATAATATATATATATATATATATATATTATATATATAATATATATATATATATATATATTTATTATATATATATAGGTCGTGTCTCGTACCCTAACATAAGGTTGTTGTGTCCTGTATCCACACTGTGTTCGTGTCCACACCAATATACGTGTCTCCATCCGGACCTGTATCCATGCAACACAGATCTTACTTATATATACTTATTGTACTAATAAAGTAGCTTCCACTGGTTGCAAAATTGCAAGACTAGCATATAGTTAGCTATGTCATCTTTCAACTTCTCTACTGTTAATTTTCCTTTTGTTTCTTTTTTCTGTCCGCATTCTTCCTTCTTTGTGCTTCTCCATCTAAAAAGTTAACCAAAATCTTATTCGCTCACCTTAATCATTTATTAACAAGAAACTTTATGAGTATAACAATATTGTAATACCTAATCTCATGCATCGCAAATGTAAAAACTAGAATCTCATATCTCGTATTTTCCAGAAATTTACATCCATCAATAATTTGGGCCTTATTTCCTCACAAAAAATAAAAATTATATTATATTATACTTTATATATACTCCTTTTAAAAGCATGAGTTCAGAAAAAAAATTCATGGTCAATATTACCCTTCATCACTATTTTGGATATTTCATTTAAATATTAATCTTTCTAATTTTAGTCATATCTTATCTAATTCTCGTAAACTATCTATAGGTCAACAATTAAAAATTTTATTTTAAATATTTTATTTAAATCTTAATCTATCCAAATGCTAATTATATCTTATATTAACATTATATTAACTACCTATAACTCAACAATTTAGAAAAAATAAGATTAAGAAATTATACGTATACAACATATTATAATACATGAAGTATTACAAAAAACCCAAAAGTTTTAAAATTTGCATATAATAGCCTTAAAAGTTTAAAATTACACAAAACACCTTGACTTTTTAAAACTTAAAAACAAACATGAAATCTAAAAATTTAAAATTTGTAATTAACACCCTCAATATTTTAAAAAATGCAAAAATAGCCTCAAAAGTTTAAATTACAAAAAATACCCTAAAATTCAGAGATTTTAAAACTTAGCAACAACATAGATGGATTCTAAGGATTACCATTAAGCACTCAAAATTTTAAAATTTATAAAAAATAACCTCAAAGTTATAAAAAGTACAAAAACTCTCTCAAAAGTAAAAAATTATAAAAATTCTTAAAATTTCAAAACTTATAACTAGTACACATCAAATTTAAAAATTATCAATTTAGATAATTGAAATTTTAAGTATTTTAAAAAAAACCAAAATTTTAGTAATTGTAAAAATACCTTTAAATTTTCACAGTTACAAGAAACATTCTAACATTTAAAAATTTACCACCAACACATGAAACATGAATTATAAACACCCAACTTATAATTTAAATTTTTTATAAAATACTATTAAAGTTTAAAAATTACAAAACACACCCTCAAAAGTTCAAAATCACCAAAAAGGCTGATATTTGGCAAAGAAAAAAGGAAATGTTTGATATTATAACATTATTAAGATATATAAATTTAACTTTCAATTTAAAATTTATCATCTCTTTTCAACATCTAAAAGTAGTCTAAGTTGATACCGGTAAAAAATAACAATTAGCGTAGATTAAAATTATCCAGTTAAGGAATAAAAATTCAAAAATATACGATAGATTAAAAATTAATATTACTGCATAAATTCAAGGAACTGCATATAATTTTACTAATAACATTTATTGATAGAAGACAAATTAATAAAAGACTAAAATATAATAGGTTAGCATTAATTGATTATAATGTATAAACCATTTATCTCTAATGTTAATAATATTTATAGGGTAAAAAATACAATGAGTTATGTATGGAGAAACAATCAGAAAGTTCAAAGATATCATTTAAAAAAACTAAGTTGTGTTCATTTTAAATGGAGAAGTAAAGAAAATAAACTCAAAATTCGAAAACATTCATGAATCACTTGAATTGACATTGATAAAAGGCATATCTGACAAAGAAGCACTGACTGAGTTCCCCTTGAAGAATATATTGAACAATTTTGTCCTAATTAAAAAAAGATTCTTCATGAAAGATACAAGAAAAATTAGTAAGTATTTATAAATTTTCATACTTTATTCTTAAAATACTAAAGAAATAATAAATTTAATATAAAAATACATATAAATAATCTTGCAATAGAAACTAAAGTGAAGCCATTGATCAACTATATTGCGAGATATAATAAGCTACATAAGATGAAGAAAATCACTATAATTGACAAAAAATATGCGCATAATACTTAGTTACCATAGCATAAGTAAAGAAATTAAAATTAATATTTTTTTTCTATATAGTGGCACGACCTTGTAAGTAACATTATTTGGGGATATGACTACCAACGAAGGATCAATTTTTAAGAACACGCTCAAAGATAAGCATGTATTAATACTGTCAGATTTCAAGATCTTTAAATATAAAGGTAACATTTTACAATTAAAATTCTTATTAAAAGCCACTAAACATAAAATTCACCTTATATCTATCTCAAATTTGTAGGAAAGATATGTATGTCATCGTAAATTGTGTTAATAATATATATCAATCCAAAAATATAACTTATTGAAGAAAAAAGAGAATGATAAGTAAAGCAAGCAAATATCCATATAACACGATAAAAAAAATATTACACTTTAAAGCTAATATGCAGGGTTCATTCAGAACAAGCTGCTAAAACAAAAGCATCTTCATCAAGGCTCTTTTTAAATACAACACAAATTTAAATTATTGAATATTTTATAGAATAGCTTGATTTTTTAAGGGAAATCAGGAATCTTTAGAAGGGATTTTCATGAACTCTTTTAATATTTGTATATGGTTATGTGAATGCTTTTATCATATAAAAGTATATTAGAGTTAGTATTAATCTTTATTTTATGATTTTTTCTAAAGTCTATCAATGATTAGTAACAAAATTTATATTCTTTTTAGTTTCATTATAGCCCACTTCTAATTAATCATGTTGGCTTATTGGTTTTAATTATTCATCCTTCTTTTATAACGCTATTTCTTCAAGTGTTTTTCACTTTTACAACATTATACCTTCTCAAATCAAGCTTGGTTTCATGTCGATCCAAATAACGTGCAAATTCAAATTAGCTTTAGATTATATTTATTTTTTGTCAATTCAATTATTAACGTGAAAATTTTAAATTTAGTGTAGCTCATTCAAACAAACATTAAAGAAAATAAATAATCATAATACTAACGTACGTTTAAAGGCATAAGTGAGTAAAAACAATCAAAGTAGAATTGAGGAACAAATTTTAGTAAAGAAATAAATTAAAAATACTTAATCATAGTATTTAATCACGTACATTGCACGTGCATAAAACCTAGTAAATAAATAAATAGATTAGAATAAATATGTCAAATCTCATACCTCTTCGTGAACCCATACCAAATCCGCAAGAAATTTCTTATGATGATCAGGCACTGCTTTTGCTAAATCTGTAGAACCCATGGACAAAATTAAAAGAAAATAGTTAAAGTTAGGATTAGAGCTCAAACTCAATGGCAACCAAAGCCAATACAAGAAAGGGAAAATTTGTAAAATAGTCCGTTTTTGCTAATTACTTAGTAAAATAGACCGTTTTGCTAAATAATTAGCAAAATAGACCTTTTTTTAAAAAAAGATCGATTTTGAAAAACAAGACTCAAAAAACATACGGGACTACTAGTTCCGTATGTTTAGAGCCAACTTAATCACAGATTAGTGACTCAGAAAATATACGGGACTAATAGTCCCGTATGTTTTCTGAGTTATCTTAATATTTTATGAAATTTTCTAAGTTTACTAATCCGTGATTAAAACATACGAGACTACTAGTCCCGTATGTTTTCTGAGCTGTTTTGCAAAATAGACCTCTTTTTGACCTCTTGACTAAAAAGAAGTCTATTTTGCTAATTATTTAGCAAAACGGTCTATTTCGCTAAATAATTAGCAAAAACGGACTATTTTGCAAATTTTCCCTAATAAATATCATCAATCTTTGTAATGTATGGCAGCCGTCCACTAAATAATATGCAGTTTTCCTATTGACTACCCTAATACAATCTTTTTGCTAAAGTTTTGGTCTAACATGTCAACATGTGACATAGGGCTGTTTATGGCCCAACAAAAGAAGATAATCGCTTGTGGGCCTGGTTTGACGGCCATTGGCATGGCCCTGAGGTTCGTTGCTGGCCCTGCTGCGATGGCCGTTGGGTCTATCGCTGTGGGCCTCCATGGCGATGTTCTCCGAGTTGCAATCATACAGGTGAGACAATTGTATAATCCTTGATCTTTATCTTGACTGATGTGTTGTTGAGAAAACATATATCCAGATAACTTTGCCTCGCTCCGCTGCCTCGCTCCGCTGCCGTCCTCAAATCCGCGTGAGTAATGGTGAAATGGGATCGGAGAGTTCTCAGCCGCTTCTATTTTAACTTGGATTTCTTTCTTAGACCCCCCGAATATTCTTTAATTTGTAATGTTAAGTATTAACCCTCAAAAAGGAAATAGTTTGCGGTGTAATACTGTAATCTATTGAACTAATGTAAGTATTTATAAACTATTTAACTTCGACCATTTATTGAAGAAACAAGATTGTCTTGGGCGTAACACCACATGCTCCACTATAACATGACAATATGATAATCACATTTTTGTTACATTATATACCCTCATTATCTATTTAATTTAAATAAATATATCACTAATAAACGTGTTTTATCTTAATTGCAGCTTAATGAATAAAAACTCAAGAAAAACCCAATATTTCATCTCTCAAAAAGCCCAAGAGTCAAAGCTCATACACACAAGAGGAGATCGGCCCAATCGATAGTAGTATCAATACATATATTGATACCTTTATCGATACTAGTATCGTTACCCATATCAATACATATATCGATACCCGTATCGATATCAAAATTATTGTTACGAATTAAAGGCTGAAACTGATTAACTTGAGGATCAAGTTTAATCCAAGGGCTCGCATTCATTACTGTAGGCTATAAATAGGGATAGAGGGCGAGGGGTTGAGGGTGTGAAAAATTTTGTAGAAACTCCTTTTGGAGAGGAGGTTTGCTCTTAATTGAGAAGAGCTTCCAAATTTGTAACTTTTTATTGTAATTAATAAAAGATTTTTTTTCAACTCTTCATTTTTTTTCTTCTCTTTATTTGATGATGAAGATGAAGATGAAGATGAAAATAAAGATCAAGTTGAATGTTTGCTTTCAAGATGCTAAAACCCTCTTGTAATGCAAATTTTCTCTTTTATTTTTATTTCTTTTGTAGTAATTTCTTTTCTTCCTACTTTAGTAGTTTAGATTTACATTAATGTTTTGTAGAGTAGATTTACATTCTTATCTTTATTTATTTTTTATTGTCTTGCACTTTTAATTTGTAGAGTAGATTTATTTTCTTGCATAATCTATATTTTTATTTTTTTTACAGGTTAGTTAGATTTATTTCTATATTCATAGTGTAAATTTCTTTGTTCTCGTTTCTCTTCTTTGTAATCAGTTTTTATCTTCATTCTTTTCTTTTATTCTTCTCTAGAATATATTTCATATTCTGTTTTTATTTCCTAAGATGTGGAACTAATTCTTGTATGAATTTTAGAATTGTATAAAACTAGCCTAAGTTCTTTTATAGTCTGTGAATTATTCTTTTGTGCTTAAAATAATCATGTGTAGGATAATAAACTATAAAACTAATTGGTAGAAGAAAAAATTAATAATCTATGCTTATTTTGAGTGGTTTTATAGGTTATGCTTATGAATTTTAGAATTACTATCTAGTTATTGTTCTTTTCATGAATGCTAATTTTGCTTAGATGATAATTTGATAGGTTATGCTTTTCTTAAGTGGTTTAATAGTCTATGCTTAATAAATCTAAAGTAAAATGCGATACAAAGAGAATGGTTCATAATTTATAATTGAAATTAACCAGTGGATTCAATTCTAGATTCCTTATGTATTTAATTGAATCATCCATTTTTACTTTCTTGAATTTTCTCTTTGATCTTGACTTCTCATTATTTACTTTTCTCTTTATTTTCTTTGATTTCCTTCTCTCCTCTCAACCTTACTTTATTTTTAATTGCGTATATTCACAAACACTCCTCATATCTCTCCACAATCACACACTTTCAACACTCCTAATTATCACACACACAACATAAGAACCGATTTAGATTAATACCTACAACACATTCCTCATGGGATCGATAACTTTTTACACTATGACTTGATAATTGTGCAATTGTAACTTTTGATTATCATTTATACCATATCACTATGCTATCCTTTCTCAAGACCAACACTGACGTCGATCATTCTCTTCTTCTCTTTTGCACTTTGTTGCAGTTATTCTTTTGTCCCATCTTTTTCATGGAGCTACATTAGTTGCTCATTTCGTTAGCCAGAGTGTGTCTGTTCTTCGATTAGTCTCAGATTGGGCACCTCTTTCGTTTGATCTTCTCAAGTTTCGTATCTGAAATATGAGAATATTTTTATGCAATCTATGACGACCTAATAATATCTAGATTATAATGTAAACAGAGAGAAATAAATGTAAAGGTAAACTTTTAGAACAAAATTTGAAGGTAAATTAAGAATTACAATGTTTTGAATGCAAAATTGTAAATATTTTTAACTGTCTGTGGAAGGTTTAACTAAACAACCTATTTGAAATAACTAAAAGATTTGAGAGACTAAGCAACATAATCAACAAAAATTGAGTAACTAATTTCAAAATGAAAGATTGAGGGACCAAATGGAAAAGGCCCATTGATTTTAGCTGGGTTAATTGCATATCAATCCCTAAATCAATTTTAATTACCAAATAATCCCTCAATCTTATTATTTGCTTATTAGTCCCTTAAATCTTTAATTTTCTTGCCAACTCATCCCTGTTGCCAACTTAATTTATAGATTGTCCGTTATACCCCTACACATGTTAACTCTCTCATCCATAACCCCATTTACTCGGTTCCTAACACGTTTAAACCCGAACCCGCTTCTCTAAAATCCAAATGCACTTACTCTTTCTTCTCCAATGGCCCTCTACCTCCCAAAACCCATAATATGGAGCTTTTTAGAGTAGTTAGATTTCATCAAAATCCTGTAAAATCTTCTAAATTTGCAATATACACCATTTCTCTTCATGCCAAGGGTAATAAGATAATTTGAGCTGTTGGGTTAATGTTTAACCCAGCTGTGGTCGGCTTAGTTAACATAATTGTAGGCGTCGAAAATTACCTATATGTCTCCACGAACAGCTCGGTGCTAAGAAAAGACGATGAACATCACTATCCAAGTTACAGAAGCTTGATTGATGTCGACGAACACTTAAAGTGAATCGACGAACTACGTGAAGTAACGAAGTTTCAGAATAACGAGGATACGAACTGATCGGGAGCCTAGTGTCGCTTACAAAAGGCGAAACGCCGCTCGTATCCCAGTATAATCCACAATGGTCTAAACCATCGGAGTTTATAGATCTCCTCGTCGGCTTTCCAACGCACTTTGAATCACTCAAATCCGAGTTCGGATGAAGAAGTTACGGCGGAAACGGACAAGTGTGCAAAACGAAGCGTCTCAGCCTGAGTTGAGACCCCCCGAGGTGTCTCGGCCCAACCGAGACACCCCAAGGTGTCTCAGCCAAAGCCGAGACACCCAAGGGTGTCTCGGCCTCGCTGAGACACCCAAGGGTGTCTTTAGCCTTAAAAATTGGCTGTTATGCGGTTTTAACCGTCCAGACTTCCTGGAGCCTATAAATACAGCCCCAGGACTTTATTTTTTGGGGATCTGGAATTTTGGAGAGTTGGTGAAGCCCTGCCGGATTAAAGATCAAAAGTACACGAATTTCAGAGAGGAGGAGGAGTAGAGATCTGATTGAGTTCGTCGGTATAAAGAAGAAGAGCTCGTCAGATCTGCAGTTCTCGTGTTCGTCCCTTAAGATTACCCCGTTGTGGTGATCTTAAGAAGAGCAATTATCTCGCTGTTGCCGAGATAAGCGCTACGGTTTCTTTATTCCTTCGCGAATCAACGAAGCTCTGCCCGATTTTTCAGCAATCAGATCAGATCGACGGTGGTCCACGGATATCAACGTTCCCGTCACAGGCCAAGATCCTACGCAAGCAGAAGACCGATAAACGATCTCTGCGCTGTTTGAAGAGAATTGTATTTTTGTTTTGTTTTCATTGTGTAAAAGTCTTATAAAAAGACTAATTTTTGTTTTTGTTGTAAACGTCTGAAATTTGTAATAAATCCTGTAATGAAACAATCAATTTTCTCCGCAAACAAGCTGGCGACCACAGTGGGAGCCAACAGCCTCGTTGCCAAGGCTGTCGTGCCGCAGCCGACGATCAAGATCCCGGTGTTCGAAGAGGTCAAATATGAATTTGACCAGCAGAAATTCGAGGAATATATTTCCTCCTCCTCCAGATCTCCCTCTTGCAAACACAGGAAAACCGCTGCCGCGAAGAACGTGACTTCAGATCAAAAAACCAAGGCTGATGATCTGAACCCGAATGCAGTGGAAGATTCCTCTCCGGCTTCTAAAGAAACCAGATCCAACGTTCATGACAACTCCTCGAAAGTCAAGGAGTTGCCCGTTGAAAGTGCACCAGTGCTGATGAAGAGGGCCCATCAAAGGCGCCGTCAACATCTCGCGCGTTAATTTGCCAAGGCTTTGGAGCCTGTTGACAGGGATCTGCTATGATGCGGATCTGAAACTCAGAAGGCGCAAAGTGTTCCAACAACCAGCTTTGGGAACCTTCTCACAACCACCTACTAACGAATGGGTTCGTGTCAAACGAACTCGTTCAACTCTTGAGGAGCGTATCCATAAGCACCACACACTGTTAGCACAGACGAGGATCCTTGTACGGAATGCACATGAGTTACAGAAAGGAAAGGTGGTCAAAAAGCCACCAAGATCTAAGCAAGTTTGGATGCCAAAGGCCAGATCAGCACCTAAGGCAAAAGCATCCGAGGCTGCTTTCCGGCCTTTGTCAACTCCAGATCCCGCTCCTATTGCTCCCGCACCTCCGGTGAAGCCCTATGACAGCATGGATCTTACCAAATCTAGAGTCCCATTGAAGGATCGCATCGGTTCTCTACTCAAGGATCGAGGAAAAGCGCCTGTTAAGGAAAGCTTGAGACCG